TAAATAAATAAATAAATAAATAAATAAATAAATAAATAAATAAATAAATAACCTTCCCACCGAGGTGGTCCCTATTCATCTACTCGCATTTGCATGCTTTCGAACTGCTAGGTTGGCGGGAGCTAGGACAAATGAGGGGCGCTCACTCCGTCATGTGGATTCGATCTTACGACTGCTTGGTCTTCTGACCCTGCAGCACAGGGTTCTGCGGTTTAGCCCACAGAGCCACCACGTCCCTGTTTCCTGGATAGATGCCTATTTAAATCTCTCAAGCCGTAAGCACAAAATTCAAAATTATTACACAGTATTCATCACTCCTCAGTCAAGTATGCTGCATCCAATGGTTTTGTCCCAAATCCCTTGCTCAGGGGAATCTTTGTTATATTGGACTGGGTGTGCAGGAATGCCTTGGCAGAACATTTGGCATTGCATAACTGCTAAATAAAGGTCTTCAGCTACAACCTCTCTCCTAGAAGAATAACATAATATTTGCAATTCTTACTATTTCAGAGACCTTTTACATTGTGAGCCATCTCATCTCTTCCCAAAATTCCGCTGCTTTGAAGCTAGAATATAAAGACTATTTGGTAGTTCAAAGGAACCCTGGAGAAGCAACAGAATAAGCACAAATTGTTCCTTTTCATTTGCTCCTACTTAAGCAACACCAGTCTATTTTAATCGAGACAGAGTCTATGGGACACATGAAGAAAAGTTTTTTGTGTCATCTTGTATACCTGATTAAGAATATAGCTCTTCTTGCAAACATTCCACTTATTCTGGATAGTGGAGCTTCTTCTAAGGTCAGATGGTTAACAATAAAGGAGCAAGTGAATGGAACACAGAAGGATAAAGTACATATTCATTTTCTTTAACCAACCTTTAGGTGGTGAAAACTGCTGAGAAGCATGAGGATCAGAAGAAAGTTCTAGAGGAAACTGTAATTGTTCTTCATTGTCTGTAGAAGCTTGAAACAACAAGAGAACAGGTACATTTTAATATCTCTCTTAAAATCACACACAATTCAAAGAAACATTTGATTCTTTGTAAAGAAGATCTATAATGGTAACAGTGAAAAGCAAATCAAGGTAGTTTCCCCTTGACAATTTTTGTCCAGTCGTGTTCAACTCTAGGGGGCGGTGCTCATCCCCGTTTCCAAGTCATAGAGCCAACGTATGTCCAAAGACAATCTTCCGTGGTCACATGGCCAGTGTGATTTAGACACGGGACGCTGTTACCTTCCCACCGAGGTGGTCCCTATTTATCTACTTGCATTTGCATGCTTTCAAACCACTAGGTTGGCGGGAGCTGGGACAAGCGGCGGGCACTCACTCCGTCATGTGGATTCGATCTTACAGCTGCAGATCTATAGACCTTACAGCACAGAGGCTTCTGCAGTTTAACCTGCACTGCCACCATGTCCCTCCTTTATAAATATACAGTGGTGCCCCACATAGCGACGATAATCCATGCAGCCAAAATCGTTGCTATACGGATTCGTCGCTATGCGAAATAAAAAAGCCCATAGGAATGCATTAAGACCCGTTTAATGCATTCCTATGGGCAAAAAAAATTACCTTTATGCAAAAATCCTCCATACGGCAGCCATTTTCGCTGCCCGGTAAGCGAGGAATGGGCGCGAAAACACAGAGGGCGGCCATTTTTTAAACCTGGCGGCCATTCTGGAACCGCCGATCAGCTGCTGGGAAAACATCGTTATGCGAAAATCGGTAAGTGAAGCAGCTTACTGATCATCGCAAAGCGATATTTTCCCATTAGAAACATCGTTATGCGATAGCAAAAACAATCGCAAAAGAATCACTATGCGCATTTGTCTCTAAACGAGGCGCCCATTAAGCGAGGCACCACTGTATAATTAAAGCTATATTTTTATATAAATTGAACTAATATAGCTATATTTATAAAGCTATATTGGTTCAATTTAACTTTGGGTTTGAGATATAGTATTCCTCTGAATGCCCCCTACTAGGATGGAGTCAGATGCACCTGACTAACTCTTGTTATAATTACTCTCCAGAGCTCTTCCTAAAATACTCTGCTAAAAGGAACTTGGATGGCAAGATCAATGTTAAATAGATCTCAAAGAGCCACAATTGACAATTTTGGTTGACTCAGTGTTTAGGGAGACATCCAGTGACTAAAGTCACTTCAACTCCAAATGCAGTCACTGCATCTGTCCTCATGACTATGTGCAGAGGGAACACAGAAATATGGGCTTTTAATCTGAACTGAGAATCTTGAAACATCTGCACAGCATGAACACTACTGTTATTTTGCAAGAAGCAGCTGAAACTCAAACTGACACATACAATACATACCTGTATCTATATCAATATCAGTACCTATGGCCAGAATGATTTTGAAAAAGACAAGAATGGATTTAAGAAGACCAAAAGAGATCAGAAAGACTCTGAAGAGAAAGCATGTTACAGGTTAAGTTATAAAGATATATCTAGATGATTGTATTAAACCCAGTGATAGCCATTAAGGCCCACTGAAGTGAATGAATATCTGGAGATGACAGCTGACATGAGCTATTGAAGTATCCAGTATTAGCAAGAGTTCACAGTTTCACATTCACAATTCACTTATTTACCTCTTTGAAGCATTTTTTCAGTAGCCGTTTTAGCCATCTGTAAAGCTTGGTGCTTGTCAAATGTTATTGCAACTGCTGTGACAGTGACCTATAATCAGAGGTATTATAGATATAAAACAGAGGTAAAACAGTCAATTTCTGTTTCTCTGCCTTTATTCCAAATTTTTAAATTAACCCAACCTATTACATAGGGATGTAAACACATAAATATTATATGCAAATTGTTCAATAAACTTTTTCCCTGTTTTTAAAACCACCACAGTGGCAGTTTGTTAATTATAATGAAAGGAAGATTTGTAAGTAAAGAACTCTGCGGCATATAATACAATCATCATGGGTCAGATTCCACCTAAGTTACTGATGCTTGAGGCCTGTTGAACTCAGTGGGTTTTATAATAGTCCCTTAGAACAGAAAAGACATGAATGCAGACATATATATAATCTGAATTGCTTTAAAATCCTTGCAAAAAAATGAGAACCAAGATTAGGTGGCTGGAAGAACTTTTCAAAATGTGTGTCTAAGAGTTTTATCTTCTTGATGTCTGGTTACATCATAGGACTATGTGAAAATCCTTCTGAATACAGAGAGACAAATGAAAGAAGTTACCTGAATTATTTCATCCTCTGGAAGAGCAACTGTAAAATTCACATGGCAGAGACAGCAGGGAATCATAGATCGAAGTTTAAAGTATAGGCTCTGTTGAAAAACAGATAACTTTTATTATGTGTATATGGGATTATATCCTCTACGTTCTCAAGTGGAAATGCTGGGTGGAAGAGATGTAAAAGACCTTAATACACCTGATTGGCTAGCACAAGTATGAAACATCATACAGTGGTGCCTCGCTTGACGAGGATAATTTGTCCCGTTCAAATCGCTGTTAAGCGAAATCCTCATCAAGCGAAACGAAAAAGCCCATTGAAATGCATTGAAAACCGGTTCAACGCGTTCCAATGGGCGAAATACCTCAGCATCCTGCAAAGATCCTCCATAGGGCGGCCATTTTAGGTGCCTGTAAAGCAAGGAATCCATCCTAAAACACAGCGGGGATTCATTTTAAACAGCAGCCAGCCATTTTGAAGACCCGATGATCAGCTGTAAATATCATCGTTAAGCAAAAAATCGGTTCCCGAAGCAGGGAACCTATCATCGTTAAGCAATTTTTGCCTATTAAAACATCGTTTTGCGATCGCAAAACTTCATTGTCAAGCGATTTCCTTGTCTAACAAGGTAATTGTCAAGAGAGGCACCACTGTACTCAACATGCTAACACTGGAAATAAAATGGATAAGCAATGGGGGGGATCAACTCTTTTTCACAGCATAGATGTATTTTATTTCATTTACATATCAAGATCTACAGAATTAGACCTCCTGCCCTACACATTAAATTGTGGAAAGATATTTTATGAAAAGAAATGCTTGCCTACCCTTATTTTGTTACGTATGTTAATATTTGTATATGTTTCACTTGTTTATGTTTGAATGATCTATTGTTTCTTTAAAAAAATCTTTATTTGATATGACAGCACACAAAGTTGGTATGAAAGGATGCTGATGCATATGGAAAAACTATCTGCACACCTATTTACTACAAAGATGACACGCATTCACCTATCAGTATATTCCCATACCCAACATCATTTTATGTAATCCAGTCCAATGTTTGCCCAAAAGCAGAGGAGCTGGCACACAGCAAAAATTTCAGACACTTCAAGTAAATCAGTTACTTAAATGAACAGCTCAGTAATGACATCGTTCCTGCAACTGTTCTCTTACCTTTAGCAGATTCTCACAGAGGTCATTAAAGGTCTTATTGAGTGTTTGATTTGTTAGGGTAACGTTGGTAAGTCTGGAGACTCTCACTGATGTAAACATCTGAAGCAGAAAGAGTTGCCAACTATAGGTTTAAACAGAATATCTTCATGAAATGTGACTAACTGATATTGAATGGTGTACTGGGATTTCTCCTAAAGACAGTTCAAACACAGTTAACTATGCCTAATAACTTTCCAGTTAAACCTCCATAATGGGGAGAGCATGCCTTTGAAGATACATTCCAGCTCACAGAGAATACAGTTCCTAATGTACTGACTGGGAATGATTTGGGGGGAATATATGCCATTAATACTGAAAAAGCTACACTGTCTTTTGCTCTCTCTCTGAGTGAAATTGAAAATGCTAGCCCAGCTGTTTCTAATTAGCGATCAGGAAGCTCTGAGACACAGAGCTTGTTCCTGATCCAATCTCATCAACCTCCACTTCTCCCTCGGACTAATGGGCCCCACACCCTTTTCATCCTCAGAGCCTTCTCTGTCAGCTGTTCTGCTTCCTGAAGCATCTGGAAAAACACTGACAGCAGGAGAACCTAGGCAGCAACTACATGGCCAAACACGGCAGGATTTATTCTGTTTATGAAACTAGTCAATTTGCACCATTTTTTAATGACAGAAAGGCTGATTTGAATCAGTCCAGCCCTTTTTGCAGCCAAAGTGTCATTTTTCCCTCTGCTGCTGCCGGGGGGGGGGGTTTCTACTTTTTCAAAGTAGAACAGATAGAATGGGTTTTTCCCCATGTGTTTAGCTGTGATACTGTATGTCCTTGCAAAGATAGGGGGCATGTCTGTCGTAGTGTTTCGGTAACGTAGGCAGTTGGGTTGTCATGTTTAAGACCCAGGGAACACGTCCCAAACTTATTTTCTCTCCCCCGATTGTCCTTTGATTAAAATTAAAAACACCCTTATATATATCGGTATATGAGATTAGTGCTAGATCACCCTATCACCTTATTCTGGGTTCTCATTATTATTTCCCATATTTATGCCCATAAAAGAATTGGCAGAGGTGGGACCAGAAGAAGGAAGGAAAGAAGGTAATTTCTCTGCATTGGAATGCAAACTGCAGTGCAACCAGTATGAACGGTGTGCTCCCTGATCAATTGACAGTCCCTGTATGAACACTGAATGCGATTTCAAACATGATACAGGATGTGAATCAAATTGTGACAAAGCTTAATTGATCTGATTCATCTTTCTGGTGTATTTGCACCCTGAGTTCCTGTTCTGCAGCAGCCTTTTCAGGCTACATAAGATGTTCCTCTCCCTCTGAAGGCAAATCAGTAATGTGTGGCATGACACACACTCTGAAAGCTCATCTTATGTTTTTCTTGCATGCTACATTCTTCCTGTTTAGGAAGCTGCTCAGGGCCTTGAGATGACCAGCTATGGAATATTTTCACCATAGAGATTTGTTTGGAACCCAGAAGGTTATCTCTTTCTTTGCCTTACACAGACTCCTCTTCTCCCTATACCCATCAGCACTACTTCAGGCCTTTTAAACTGTTCTGTTTCATACTATTGATCCATTTTTAATTATTGACATATACTGTAGATGGTTCTTGTAGGTTTTTCGGGCTGTTTGGCTGTGTTCTAAAGGTTTTTTTTCTTAACGTTTCACCAGTCTCTCTGACCGGCATCTTCAGAGGACAGGACTTAGAACTCTGTCTGTGTTCTGGTGCAGTGTGTGGAATAGTTGAGTATTTGTAGCTGTGGGATCAGCTTTATGTCCTTTTCAAGAGATTGGGTGATTATGGTGATCAGGGTGTTTTTTGTTATAGGTGTATTGTTATGATAAGGGGGGAGATGATCTGTCACTGTGATTGATGGGTGTCATTAGCTAGTCTTGTGTGTGCAGTGATCCCCGGTCCTTCGCCACGAACATGGCAAAACATTAGGAAGAAAAATCTTCCGAACACAACCAAACAGCGCGAAAATCCTACAAGAACCATCAGATCTCAGTTGTGAAAGCCTTTGAGAATATATTGACATATACTTTTTTCAAGTCACTTTTTACTCTCCATATCTGTAAATCTGCCATGGCAATTGTTATTGGTAGCAGTGAAAAGATGGATTAATAAGCAAAACTAAAATGTGTATAAGAAGAACAGTTTCTTTGGATTTAATTCTTTCTTGTGCATCTCAAATGTGATGTGCAAAACAGTTGGAACAGTACCTTTGGATTAAATCCACTATCTTTCTACAAGGCCACAATGTTTAACATAGGCCTATTGAAAATGTGAGGTCCTGCTAATGTCTTTCTTCCAGAAGAGTTATGCGGATAACCATTTCTATGAATGCCAAATGTTCCTTAGCAAAGGGTTAAAAGTGCACGGAAGCATATAAAAAGGAATGTCTTTCTTTCTGGGAAAAATTATTTGTACATAGTAAAGTCAGTTTACCTGTATATCAGGAGTCCAGTTATTTATACCAGGCATAATTTCTGTGTTGCAGCTATAAAAACCTGCCAAACAAAATAAATCAATTTCTTAACATTCAGAGCTAGATAGCAGTTGTATATATCACACTTCACTTTCAACTGCTTCATAGCAAGTTTTTTTTTCTATTGCTATATTTAAGAAACATACAAACCTGCAACATTCAGCCCAAAAATTCAAACATCTACAAAACAAATTCAGCATGTGCCTAATATTTCCAATGGCCAAAACTACATATTTCAAGGAACAATCCAGTAACTGCAAAAGTACAGTATGACTCAATGAACTTTCTTTAGTAAAACAACCCACAAAGGTTAGCCACTTGTTCATCACAGTTTACTGAATATTTGCTGTTTTATGACTTCACTTAAAAAAAATCCAGACTTAAGTGTAAACAAACTCAACAAAACATTCCTCTAATGAATGCCTCTGAGCACATATCTCAGTATAAATTATCATTAGGAACCACTCCTGGAGACTAGACCCACAGATATACTAATAATTAAGATTTATACCCTGCATGTAAGGAGTTGACTGCCAAAACAAAAAAAGGGTTAAGGGAAGAAGTAAAGCATTGGAAAATCAGCTAACATCATAATAGAAATATTAAGTTTATGGTGGACTTTGGAAACCTGGACAGTTGAGAAAAAGAGATGATGAAATAGCTCAGTTGGAGAAAATCACTCACTTAAGCAATTGGGCATACTTTCAGCCAGTATCCTGATTACTTGTAAAAATGTGAAAGGTGATGCTGTGTACAGTACATTGATACTCTAGTCTAAAGCACATACTTTACAATATATAAAGTAATACAATTATAATATGTACTTTCCTAAGAGAATCAATGGGAATAATTTTGTTTAGTTTCAGTCTGAATGTGTTATGATGTTTTATCATTATTTATAGAATCCAACAGGACTATCTTAAAGGCAGATTATAAATAAATAACATAAAATTAATTACATGTCATGTTAACATAAGATTTCAATACACTGTATATTTGGCTGCTAATTCAAGGGCTGTGAAGTTACAATAAAGTACTATTTAGTTGGTTCACACTTGAAACCCCACTACAAGAAATGATGAAGCTGAATGGCTTAGTGGAGGATGTGTTCCCACCAACTATGTGTGCCTTCCAGGAAGTGTCCGTTTCATGTACTTCTCCTCCTCCCTGAATACATTAGTAGCAACAGTCCAGAAAACGAATGTTTCCCATCACTGGTACCCTCTTCTCTATTAACAGAGTAGAAAATTTCCCTTTCTCACTTTTGACATAAAAGACAATTCAAATGGATATCTGTTAATTAACCTGAGAACAGCTATTTGTTAAAACAAGGACTCCCTATCAAGGTGCACAAGCTGCAGAACTATAAATTGTGTCATGAATGTACCTACAGAAATCTATTCTTAATTATGTTTTGACAGAAATATGTTGAAAATGAGATATCTAAAAGAAAAACTTGTACAAGTTGAGAGAACCAGTTTAGCTCACCATTTTGTGCTAGAATGTGGAAGTGAAATGTGGACTACAAAACCAAACTGGATGTATTTGGTAACAGTGATGCGAAATATCACAAACAATTTTCAGAGATCACATACAGCCATTCTATGTGGAACTGAGGTCACAACATATTATTTTCATGCTTTTCTGGTTTAGGATAAGTACAAAATGTTTGTGGGCCATCATGTTAAATAGATCTTAAGAGTGGATGCATACACAATCCAGGCTTGTGTATGCAGCACCAAACCACAGTCTGTTGCTACCTTTGAACCAAGATATTATCTCTCAGCTTCAGAAGCTTCTACCATAATGGAATAATAATCTCATATCATGTAATGAAGTTGTTTGAAAGATTAACAATATGAGGTGCTTGAAATAATTTTAACACTCAAAAGGCACAGTGTTATTACTAAATGTAGGAGCATTCTAAATGTAACATATTTCATGTTCATTTTCTCACTTTTTAAAAAATTAGGTAACACATTCTACACTCTGAGAACCGTCAGATTTGGGCCAGAATGTAATAGTGTAAGTCTCCTGAAAACCACTGCTTTCACCAAAATCAGTGAAACCCCCCCTTCTGCAGTCCTTAAGTCTTCTGCAGAGAGCACTGGAACAGATTTCTTTGGAACTACAGAGAGCTGCAATAGGCCAGGCAGAAGAAGAAAAGTCCCAATTTCACTGACACTGAATACCAACTACACCACTGGAACTTAGGATTTAGGCTTCTCGCTGTGGAGCCAGAGGTTGGGAATTTGATCACCCCCCCATGCCTCCTTGACAGGGGCTGGACTTGATGATCTATAGGGTCCCTTCGAGCTCTGCAGTTCTCAAATTATTATTAATTATTAGCCTATATTGTTAGGCTATTGGATATTGTTTTTCAAAGCAAACAGAACGTAATAAATACACACAATGTTAGACTTTACCTGAAGGTGGGGGTACATCTGTCAACAAGGAATGAACATCTTCCATTGCATCAGTATCATCAATCTGAAACAAAAAATTATATAAAACAGTGCTCTCTTTAAAGTTTCACCTATTAAGACTGATAACTATTCTGTGGCAATATTAAGACACAGAAAGCAATGGCTTTTTGAAGGGCTCTTAAATTGATGTCTGTACACTTTACTTAGGCTACAGCATTGTCACAGGTAAACTTATCACTTGAAACATTCTTCTACAGGTTAAATGCAAAATACTCAAGAGGAAGTGTGTTTATGTATGAACACAGATGAAGTAACTTCAACTAGAATGATATTGTTTGCCCTTTTGAAGACAATTCTATCAATCTGAGGTTATTTTTAGATATAAAATTGTAAACATAATTATAAAACATTATCTATAGTTTTAATTGCCCTTCTTTATAAAAGGAAACCATGTACACAGCTTAACATTTCACTGTCTTTTGACAGTGTCATAAATAGAAACTGTATTCTGATGGATATTGTTGAAATCATCGGTGTGAATGTACAGTATGTAGGAATGAAAAAGCAGAAGAGCTGATATAAAGTCAAGAGTATTAAGTAACTTTTACACTTATGTTCTCACTGATCATGGAAAACTTCACATCTGTAGACATAAATTTCTGTGTGTGACTTGTTCTCACAATTAATGCATTAGTAACAGTACCAAGCATCAAAATGATACAGATTCATAATGTCATGTGACAACATTTGAAGTCCTGTTTAGACAGCACTGTTCTTACCTAACCTCTGTGTGCTGAGGCATCAGAAGCATCTCTTCCTTGTGCTCTCCTGCCATGTGTGGAAGATTATAGCTACACAAGGAGATCTCTCATTTATATGAATCCAAAAGCAATGAGATTTGCTTGCAACTAATTTCTTTACAAAAGCATGAATTTTGACACTGAACATTGTTCCTACTAATCACAGACAACATTTGTCAGGATGTCCAGATTAGCTTTCTATTTAAAGGTTCTGAACCTTCAACTCCAGTTCTAAACAAGCAAGGTTTTTTTATCACTCAGTCAAGCATTATTTTGGCCAAATGAACACATTTGATAATTTGATTGCTTAACATTCTGGACACACCAATAATTCTAGGATTATTAGAGCAGCATATGTTGAGTACAGAGCTTTGGAATACTGCATCTTTTTATCATACAAAGTCCAGATTAGAGATAAGATTACAGAGAATTATGAGGCAAACAATCATTCATACAGCTATCTGTATTATATTACAGTGAAAAACGCCATTATATGATTAGTAACTTGCATAATATTTTTATTTCCCTTATGTCATGGGAAAGCATGCCACGCTAGATGTTACTGGACTGCAATTCCCATCATCCTTTACCATTGCCTATGTTGGCTGGAACTGAAAGGAATAGCTGTCCAGACATATCTGGAGGTGCACATATTCTTCACTCCTGCTTTACTAAGTTCTTCAAAAGACATGTAGAAATATGAGCTTTAAAGAAAAACAATGTACCTCTAAGACAAAGGCATCTTTCTTTCCATGTGAGAGATCCAATTCTGTAATTTCATCTGAACTTTCAGACTGTGATCTCAGGAGTCTTGACCGAGGCCTTGGTTCTGGAATGGGTGAACCTATAATTTCTTCAGAAGCCTCCTAGAGAGAGGAATGACATAAAATCACATATAATTCTTTTTTTTCCCCTTATTCTATCTCACATGAATGTTTTAATGCCCTGCTACTACTGTTGTAATAAATATTAACTGTAGGCTGTCAAGTCAATTCTGACTTATGGCAACATTTCTAGTTTTTTCTAGGTAGAGAGTATTCAGAAATGGTTCACCATTCCCTTCTTTTGGGGGCATCCTGGGACTTTGTAGCTTGCCCAAGGCCACAGGCTCTGATCACAGGAGCCACAGTGGGGAATCAACCAAATACCTCAGGCACTGAGCTATCCAGACAACTATTACTATTATAATGGTTGTTGAGGGTTTTTCGGGCTTTTTGGCCGGGTTCTGAAGGTTGTTCTTCCTAACGTTTCGCCAGTCTCTGTGGCCGGCCTCTTCAGAGGACCAGAGCCAAAGCGCCCGAAAAACCCACAACAACCATTAGATCCCGGCCGTGAAAGCCTTCACGAATACATTATTACTATTATAAAAGGTAAAGGTTCCCCTTGACAATTTTTTTTGTCCAGTCGTGTGCGACTCTAGGGGGCGGGGCTCATCCCCGTTTCCAAGCCATGGAGCCAGCATTTTGTCTGAAGACAATCTTCCGTGGTCACATGGCCAGTGCGACTTAGACACGGAACGCTGTTACCTTCCCACCGAGGTGGTCCCTATTAATCTACTTGCATTTGCATGCTTTCGAACTGCTAGGTTGGCGTGAGCTGGGACTCCCTCCATCGCGTGGATTCGAACTTACAGCTGAAGATCTACAGATCTTACAGCACAGAGGCTTCTGTGGTTTAACCTGCAGCGCCACCACATCCCTACTATTACTATTATACTCTTCATTAAACACAAATTATCCCGATAGTCTCTAATTGAATTCAATTGGTCTGTAAATTTCTGGGTGATAAGCCAGGCCAAAAGAGAAGATCCAGGTTCCCCTATACCCACAATACTGAACATAATTCAAGATTTATATAACATTTATTTTGCCCAGCATACATCCTAGACTGTGCAAAAAAATATATATAGAGTGTTATATCCCTATTAAAGAAGAAATAGCAGGATAAGGGAATGTAGGAAATCTGAAAGCCGGTCCCTCTAGCCCAGTATCCTCTAACTTCCAGGATTTGAGCTAAGATTCTTTCTTAGCCTAACTGGAGATCTGTGCTATTCCCTAGTGGTCTACCATTCAAGTATTACTCAGATCGCAGCCTGCTTTACTTTGAAATAGAAATAAGTGTAAATCAGAGAGAGATCTGTTGTCTCAGCAGATCTAGTACTATTCATCACAAAGGCAATGTTTTACTTTGCAAACTTTTTGGTTTTCAATTTTTATCAATAGCTTCTTGTAGCTGGCTACCTTCTAAGGACGTTCTTCATTTATATGCATGGTCCATTTTTATTAGCTAATATAACAACATACATTGCACTTAACTCAGCATTGTTTCAACAGGCATGTGATCTTACTTACAGGAGGATTAATCTCATAAAGCTCCTTATTTTTGGCTATTGTATCATTAATTTTCTTCTGCATATGAGATATATGCTGTTCATAAGTGGCATCATTTGGTGTCTTTCCAGCAATCTGAATGCCACCAGGAGTTGGTAAAGCAGCCAGATATACACCTGTGGCAGACTTTAAAGAATACGGCAATAAGAAAATGAAGAACAACCGATATTCTGGAAATATGCATTGTCTAATTTAATTTAAAAGCATTAAATAAAGATTATAAAATTGTAGTATTCTTCATGTTTTGGACATTTAGACATGAATACAACAGTGAAAAATTATCTAGGCTAGTTCTGTATTCATAGTTAAATTACTGGGAAAAATTCTGTAATGTCTTCATGTAAAATCAATATTTAAGAGCAGTAATTCCCAACCTTGGGTAACCCAGGTATTCTTGGGTTGCAATTCCCAGAAGCCTCCATCATCAGCTGTGCTGCTGGGGTTTTTCGGAGTTACAGTGAAAGAACACCTGGGTTACCCAAGGTTGGAAACAACTGTTCTAGAATATACAGAACTTTCAACTAAAAACAAGAGCAAAAACAAATTCAGCAACATAAAAATGCAGATAGGCTTTTTCATGAACCTAGGCTATCCTAGCTCATGAATTACCTTTTACCTTTTACACAAGATAAAATACGTACAGTAGGTAGCTTTACAACTTGCACACCCACCACTAAAAGACCTGGAAGAAGAGTTGATATTCTTTCTGACCCACAAGTAGAAGCATTCTAGTATCCTTCAGCAAAAAGCTTACATGAGGTATTAAAAATCTGAGAATTAATTAAAATGATTTCTAATTCTGTTTCAAAATGCTGGCTGAGTCTATACATTCTGTACTTTAAATCAATGGCCATGTGCTCCTCTTCTGGTATTAAAATACAATTCTGATCACTCTTCTGCCAACAGCAGTGATAATAAATGGCACAGCAGAAAAAGGAAAACTAAATTCAACACTTACTGCCAAACCCATCAACATGGTTTCTCCCACTGTGATCTGAATCCTCAGTCCAAAAAGTGCATTCATTCCCTTCAACTTTAGCTTATTCATTAATTGTGTGTGCACCTCATACTCCATAAATGGCAACAAATTACTGATGGAGGTTGCATTTGCTTCAGCTTGAGCTTTCTTTTTCAGACGACACAGCCTGTTAGAATTAACAGTAAAATGCAATATGGTCATAACAAAAACCTCACCCCCACCCCCCAAAATGAAGGCAATCAACAAAAGGAAAGGAAGTCCTGGTTGGAGTTTTTCCCTCAGAACATCAGCCCATACCACTGGTTCTTCACAGGCCTCACTTCTTTGGGTTGCCACACTGAGAAAGGGAAAGGTGGTGGTCCCCAGAAATGGTACCTTCTGGGCTGGGGTCCGATCCTTAAGGAATGGGCTCCTGGAAGAAGTACGTCAGCCCACCTCCCTCCCATCCTTTAAGAGGATGCTAAACGTTGTCCTCTTTCAAGAGGCAGTCAAAGGCACTGTTTCTTAAGTTACCCTCTATATGTGTTCCATGCTTCGCCATCATCTTGGATTTTCTATCTATTGCCTGTTTGAGATGTTTAATGTTGGTTCATTGGCTTACTGTTACATTGTGCTGTTGTAAATCACTCGGAGTACTGCTTTGCACTAAGTCAGTGGTATACAAATGCATGAAATAAATAGATAGATAGACTGACAGAAGGATGGACAGATAGACAGACAGATAAAAACCTCACCCCAAAAGTGAAGGTAATGAACAAAAATAGGGGAAGTACCAGCTAGAAGGGGGGTGGCATCTGCAAACTCCTTTTTTGCTGTAATAATCAGTGACATATATGATGTGGAACAGATCCATACTTTTATTTCAAGTTAATAACGAAACTGTGTGCCATCTGCACTTATGACATACTGAGATCTACAAAAAGCCTGCTGAAGGAACTACCCGTATTTTTCGCTCCATAAGACGCACCTTTCCATAAGACACACCAATTTTTTAGGAGAAGAAAACAGGAAAATATAATCTGTTTTCTTCTCTCCATAAGACGCACAGACTTTCCACCCCCCTGTTTTGTGGGAAAAAAGTGAGTCTTATGGTGCGAAAAATAGGGTATATGTGTTGGGGGAAAAACTTTTGTTTACAAATATTTGCAATATTCTAAGTAGAGCCTCTCTAAGGCTGCCGATAATGGCATATATCATTTCTTGGGATTCCCCTCCATTTTGATTTACATTTATACATTTATAGTAAAGCCTACAGAGAACTTGTTTGGTTTTGGTTGGGTTTTATTTTTAATCTGTATAATTCTGGATACTTCCATAGCAACACTTCTCCCTTAGTAATAGTCTTTAGTTTCCTCCATTTTCTTATTTGATGTTTTAAACTCACATATCTATGTTTTGACCTATAAAGCCCTAAACGGCTTGGGCCCTGGATACCTGAAGGACCACCTCCTTCTGTACGAACCTACCCAGCAACTGAGATCTAGCCAGAAGATCCTGAAAGAGCTGTCCCTCAGAAAGGTGAGGCCTTTTCAGCAGCTGCCCCCTGTCCTCTGAAGATGCCAGCCACAGAGACTGGCAAAACGTCAGGAAGAACAACCTTCAGAACACGGCCAATGAGCCCAAAAAACCCAGAACAACCATTTAAGCTGGAATGTTTATGCTTAGAAATACCACTATCAAATCGAGCCTTTTTTCCTAGCAATTGTTGGGGTGCCAAAAGAATATGACAGAATTAACCAGTTGCTAGTACTTCCCTGAAAATAAGACAGGGTCTTATATTAATTTTTGCTCCAAAAATTGCTTGGGCCCTGGATACCTGAAGGACCGCTGCCTTCCATATGAACCTACCTGGCAGTTAAGATCTAGCCAGGGGGCCTTTTTGAAAGAGCCATCCCTCAAGGAGGTAAGAGGGATGGCTTGTCGACAAAGGGCCTTTTTGGCAGCTGCCGTCAGACTATGGAATGCCCTTCCGACTGAAATTCATCTGGCGCTGACGTTGATGACATTTCGGCGCCAGGTCAAAACCTTCCTGTTCCAGAAGGCTTTTAATTGAAATAACATCAACTGTGGGTCCTGATGGCAATTTTAATTGTATTTTAATCATTTTATCTTTTACTGCATTTTAATTGAATTTTAATTGTTGTAAGCCGCCCAGAGACCTTTGGGTAAAGTTGGCGGCACATTAGTTAGTTAGTTAGTTAGTTAGTTAGTGCTTATTTTAGGGGATGTTTTCTTTTTTCATGTACAACAATCTACATTATTCAAATACAGTCATGTCTTCTTCTTCTGGTCGCTGCACACTGGTGGGGGGTGGGATTTCACTTAACTGGGGCTTGTTTTTTTGGGAAGGGCTTATATTACGACCGTCCTGAAAAATCAGACTAGGGGTTATTTTTCACGTTAGGTCTTATTTTTGGGGAAACAGGGTAGTAGCAGGATAAACCCAGACTAAAATTTGTCTCTGGTTCTCTTCTCTCCCTGGGTAAAAGGATACTTCCAGATGTTGCTAAGTAAAATTCAGTATTTCCCAACACAGTTATCTGCAGTTATGTTACAATTAAATGCAGCAAAGCAAGTGTACCATGGAGATACCTGGCTTGAATGAGACATCCTTTTCCAACCACCAGGGCATCGACAGGTAAATCTATTGTTGTGAAAAGAACATCAGGAACTTTCTGTTTCCTGCAGTTGCAGCAGTAAGTGAGATGAGCAGGGAACGGCATGTTGAGTTCATCATATGGTATGTGGCAAAATCCACAGCCTGGTGGTGATGCTTCCTCTAACCTATAAAAGGGGTTATGAGAAGTCTATCATTAGCATTCACACATCAGTCAAATGTATATGTTTCCTTCTCTTTCATTCAATACACAATGCAACTAACACATACTTCAACAGATATGACAGATATATGTGCTTGTTTACAAGGCTGCCATAGACATTTAAAAAATTAGAACACTTGTTCCTATCAATATTTAACTTCAGGAGTGTCTGGAAATTCCCTGTAGGTAATAATTTAGAATAGTGTCTATTAAAGAGCAAATTGCATGAATCAGTGACAACTGCAACAAGTTATTGTAATGAGATTCTGCAGTTTTGTCTGACAAACGTCATCAGTGACTTAACAGAAGGATAACTGTTCTTCAATTACTTTTGCTTTAGGAACACATCACCTAGAGCAGTGGTTCCCAACCTTGGGTCCCCAGATGTTCTTGGATTACAACTCCCATAAATCTTGGCCGGCACAGCTAGCAGTGATGGCTTCTGGAAGTTTTAGCTCAAGAACCACTGACCTAGAGCACTGGAGGTTGTTAACATGAATGTTGAAACCTGAATTTGGGCAGAGAGTGACACAGTAGTATGTCAGCTGAAATTTGGATTTTAGCTGAAAGTGAAGCACCACTGAATGTTGATGCAGTTTGCTTCCTGAGAATCCAGTAAGCAGTTACGCTGTATTGTGTAAGAGCCTATTTTGTCACATTACAGTCTGTGTCAATATTAATTTTTTCAACAATCCACAGAAGTGGGTTACACTTTGTGATAGCTTATGCCAAATGAAACTTACTAGTTTTGAAGGTGTTATAAGACTTTTCGTTATAAATAAAATAAACTTATAAACATGCTTGCAATGATTTCTTGTCCAAAGAAAATAAAATTCCTAACCTTGTTTGTGGATTCTCACCTCTTGGGCAAGTGGGAAGCACCTATCAGTCTCTTTGTCTTTTGACAGCAGCAAATAATCTGCTATGTGTCATAGAGAGAACCACTTTTTAAATACTTCAGCTTTGAATGTTCCAGTAAATTATACATTTTGTTAAATGCGTAACTTACTGGACAATACAAATAGTTTAGATTGAGCCTTCAAAGTGCACATCTGGTCAAGCATTTTTTCAGCTTAGCACACAAAACAATTTAAGACTTAGGAAGGGAAAATTCAAAATACTGATAAAGTTTGCATGCATTTCATCACCTTTCTCCTATATTAGCAGGGGGTCACACCCAACTGTTTTTTGGCTGATGGGGGAATCTTTGATCCAGCAACAGTATTCATCAATGGAATGGCAAGCAGGGCAATTATTATAGAATAGGGAAATTGGAAGGGGCCTATAAGGCCATCAAGTCCAACCCCCTGCTTGATATCATCAATTCCCTACATTCTTCCCATTACACCCTCCCCCATGAGGTTCTGAAGGGCCTCCCAAACTTTTGGAGCAGATTTAGTTCTACAGATGTTGTTATGTACCATCAAGTCAGAACTGACTTATAGCAATCCTAATAGGGCTTTCAAGGTAAATGAGATATTCAGGGAGTGGCTTTAACAGTTCCACACATCCAGTGAGTTTCCATGGCTAACTGGGGATTAAAACCCAAGCCTCCTGAGTCCTAGTATCCTACTCTATCCACTGCACTACACTGGGTATCACTTTCTCCCTGTTCTGTGGAAGGAAGCCTACACAGGATGAAAGAGCCTTCCATCAATACTGGATGATCCCACTGACATAAGGTCATCTTCTTTAATGCAAGTGATGGATTGCATAAGCTTCTTTAGGATGCAATCCACCAAGAACTCCTTCTGTAACATAGCCTGCTAAAAAGAATAGCACATGGATATTATGAGCAATTTCAGAATACTGAGTGCTACAGCAATGCTATTCTTACGTACTACCAAAAATGTAACCATATATCCTGAGTGGGAGGAGATGCAGTCCTGATTCAGGTGTAAAGCTGCTGATGTTTTAAATTATGGACTAGGTAAAGTGTACTTAGTTTAAATTTAATTTAAAGTAGTAACTAATTTAAATGGAATCCACCAACATTCACAAGGTAGCAGAATTTATATATACTGTATATATAAAAGTACTAAGATGAATTGCTATAATGACAGGAATATATTAAAATAATTCCTAAGCCTATGTCTGTCCAAAACAGAAGCAGAGGAAATACTAGCTTCCGAGAGGAAGTGTCCCCAATCCAGCATGTAAATTAACCTTTCTTCAAAAGAGATTTATTCCTATCACCCTATCTGGATCACTGGGTGGCAATATTCTGGGGAAGTAATTTGTATCCTGGCAATATGAGAGCTAATGATGGTTTCTGAGGCTGAGGGGCTCCTATAATTTCATAACTATTAGCTGATTTTTCTGTAAGAACTTAAACATTTTCATTCAGAAATTTCTGTATTATATACCCATAAAGAGAGGCAAATAATCAGAAAGCTTGGGCTTTATCAATAAAATGAGACAGCAGAGAAGTTACTTGTAGGTAGAATACTGTACTATGAGAAATAGAATTCAAAACCTAAGCAAGGAATGGCGAGAGATTTGGATTATGTGATTAGTAGTCAAAGGTGTTACCTTTATGCAGAGTGTTAGAAATTTAAAACAAGTAAGGCAAGTGATTTGGTGCAGAGCTTCACAACCTCTGTTGTTGTTAGTTAAAGATCAGTAAAGTGGTTGGCCCCGCATCCTGAACTGTAGCACTGGTAACCTACCCTAACAGAGGAGAACTATCCTGGTTTTGAGGAAAAAAATCAACCTCTCCCTTCTCTGACCCTATGGAAAAGTAGCCAGGCTGCCATGACAACCTTTGTTCCAAACAGACTTCCATGGTGCCATCTTGTAGAAATCTAGGGTTCAGTACAGCTGCCGTGCCGGATGCGGACAAAATACAGACCTCTTCACTATAAAAAGAAAAGAAAGGTCACATTTTTTGGTGCTCAGCATTTTTAGTTAATGTATGTAGCAGACGTGAGAACCAAAACATCAATGACAACAGAAAATTCATTGACAGACAATCCCTTCAGAATCAAATCAAAGCGTAAACAGGCCATCTCAAGTTGGTTATGGCATGTGAGTTTCTACCTAGTCTCAAAGACAGGGAGGGGTCAGAAGATAGCCAGAGGGCTACACCTCTAGCCTCCACCATTTGTGTTTCCCTGCTTCCCAAATTTAAGGATCAAAACAATCAGAAGGCAGAACTAGCTATTTCAGAGGGCTGGGCCTGCTTAGGCCCAAGGATACATATCTTTCCCGCTTTCCCCCCAAAAAAGAACTCCACTAGGCCTAGAACCAGATGGTCTAAATGGCCAATAGAGTCTCTGTTTGTTGTTTCAACTTATATTCTGCCCCATAATGCTGAAACACTCTTTGGGCAGTTTGCAACATAATTATGCGAACAACACGTCGGCCCTCAGCAAGCTATGAACTCATTTTATCAACCTCAGAAGGATGGAAGGCTGAGTCAACCTGAGTCAACTGAATCCATCACTCAGGTTATGAGGTACCACAAGGTTCTAGAAGCACAACCTGCCTTTTCTAAAATAAAAGCACTTTTCAGCATGTGAGGTGGATTGGCGAGACAGCCCTTGCCCTCCCCAGATATAAAGGAGAGCCCTTTCTTCGGTCTTTCTCACAAACACCTGTATTCTTGATTCAAATATCATAAGAATATGCTTGACAGTACAAGTGGTATCCACAGTAAATAGTAAGAAAAATATTTCAATGACATGACAATAAAATCTGTGTACTTTTCCAAGGATTTAGTTTACATCACCTATAATCTTCAGCTTTCACCAGCCCTTACATGCTGCATCGTGAGTGCTAGGAAGTCTCATTACTCATTTGTGTAGAATCATAGAATCATGAAGTTGGAAAGGGTCTATAAGGCCATTGAGTCCAACCCCTTGCTCAATGCAGCATTACAAATTAAAGGATATCTGCCAGGTGGTTGTCTAAATTTCCCTTGAATGTCTCCAGTTTTGGAGCACTCACCACCTCTCAAGGTAATTGGTTGCACTGCCATACTGCTCTAACAGTCAGGAAATTTTTCCTGATATTCAACTGAAATCTGGCTTCCTATAACTTGAGCCCATTGTTTCTTGTCCTGCACTCAGAGCTGATTGAGAACATCATAGAGGACAGTGGTAGAAAGGAGAACTGTATTCAGGACACACTTTACAGGACTATCAAGACCTGATTCACTGCACACTCACAACTCAAAAGAAGGACATCTGTTTCAAGCAAGTACTGTATGGAGGGGCTTTATACAAGACTGATTTAAAGGCACTAGGAAAAAGAAAATCCTACCAAAGATTGACAAGCCTAAGCAAGAATGTACTGTCTGCCCCAGGATAGAGACTGAAGGATCTATGGTTAAGAATTAATTGTTCTGCTTCCCCTGAAGAAAACAGAAACAACGCTACAGCAACATATCTTTCCCACAGAGTTAAAAACAAAAACAAAAACGACAAAAAAACAGCAAGATATCCGATTTTCTTTGATTCTGGAAGATAACTATGGTCAAGCCTCTTTGGTACCTGGATGAGAAAAAATCAGGGAATTCCAGAGATCTTTAGACATGACTAGGAAAAACTCCTGCCTGAAACTGTAAGTAGCTACTGCTAACTGGTTGACAATATGGGAACAGATGCACTAACAATCTCATTCAGTATAAGCCAGCTTCCTGGGTTTCTATTTCTGCCTCTCTGGTTAGTCTCTGGAGCTAAACAAAGCCACCACTCAGTATCTCATCATTCTAAGCCTTCCCTGTCCCCATTTCAGACTTGTACAGACATCAACACCAGCAATAACTCTATGGTTTCTACTTCTTTCATTCTTTCTTCTGCTGCTTGCATGATATGATAGAGCATTCATTTCAAAAGCATTAGAGAAATTAAGTCAAAATGATTTACCAAATGCTTGTTGATTCACTGTAGCCCACTACCGCATGACAACCCAAAGCCTTTGCATGGGATTTTATTTCTTGTCGGATTTCTGCCCACCACGCATCTCGAGTCTCTGGGTCATCTGAAAGACAAAGCATAAATCAATTCACTATTCTGCAGGAATGCCAGTATTTAAAATTCTACAGCTAAAGAGAAGACATAAACGAAGTAATGGATTTAGCTTTTTAGGTGGTCCAATTTTTCTTCTCCCACTGAGCTATTGCTCTACCAATTTTTTTCTTGCTTTTTTCAGCCTTTTCCTTTGTGGTGCTGATCTCAATGAATGTGATACAGAGATGGGCAAGAACCACAGTTCTGCGGTTCAACCCAGTTTGGCTCCGCACTCGGACAGGTATTGCACGGGCACAGGATACTCCTGCCTCCTCTGTGCACGCCCCTATTTCCCAGGCAATGTGCGCTTCCCTGCCTGCCTCCCCAGCATGACTGCCCATTCATTATTAGCAGTGAGCACTTCCCTCCCCTGCCTCCTCCAGCAGCCACCCACTTAGACAAGGTGGGGCAGGGAAGCCTGCAGTGCTGCCTTTTGTGAGCAGCTACCAGAGGAAGCAGGGACGTGGTGGCGCTGCGGGCTAAACCGCAGAAGCCTGTGCTGCAGGGTCAGAAGACCAGCAGTTGTAAGATCGAATCCACACAATGGAGTGAGTGTCCGTTGCTTGTCCCAGCGCCCGCCAACCTAGCGGTTTGAAAGCATGCAAATGCAAGTAGATAAATAGGGACCCCCTCAGTGGGAAGGCAACAGCGTTCGTGTCTAAGTCGCACTGGCCATGTGACCACGGAAGATTGTCTTTGGACAAACGCTGGCTCTATGGCTTGGAAACGGGGATCAGCACCGCCCCCTAGAGTCGAACATGACTGGACAAAATTGTCAAGGGGAACCTTTACCTTACCAGAGGAAACAGAGGAGGAAAGTGTGCACTGCAAACAGTGAGTGGGCAGTGACGCTGGGGAGGCAGAGAGGGAAGGGTGCATCACCCATGGAATAGATAAGCACGCAGAGAGGGGGGTACAACACTTGTGTGTGAGCAGAGCCAAATTGGGCCAAACTGCAGTTTGTGCCCATCTCTAATGCAAAACAAACATGAAACAAAAGCATGCTAACATGAAGCAAAAGATGTTAGTTCATTTTCCCCCTTTTAATTTTCAGAGAACGCAGACGCTCATCAACTTTTGTTGGTTATAAACTTTACCGAAAACAGGCCAACATGGTTACTGTACTTAAAATGCTCAACCTTCTCCTACCTATAATCATATATACCTACAGGATCCTTGACTCTGAAATACATCTGTAGTATCTACAGTTAAGATTCTACCTCTTGCCCTGCTACAAGTACATTTATAGTCACAAGGTTGACTATTAAATTAGACAAACAGCATAATTTTTCTCTTACTCACTCTTTGGGCATTCTTTTTTTAAAAGCTCATGGTCAGGATACAAAGAAATGTGGAACTAGATATTCACACTGTGACATGATAATAGGGCTGAATTTAATTGTTAGTCCTAGCTAAAGGAAGCTCAATGAATATATGTAACTTGTTCAGTCAATACTGATATAAGTCCCACTGATTCACTGAGTCTTCTCTAATCGGAACTAAAAATCAAATTTAGCACAATTTTTTTTAAAAAAAACATAGGTGTTACAACAATATAGAAATACTGACAAGACCTATCACAACTACAAAAACCTTCCACAAGCTTAAGTTACTTCTTTGATTTCATGTCTTGTGCTTTATACTGTACATTGTTGCATCTAGCTGTTTTTATTACTATTGTCCTCTTCAACTGCAAGTAAAACTATTGAGTTATTTAATTATGCAGTGAATAACTGTACTGCCTAACATTTCTTATACTAATAAGTATATTAGAAAGTATAAAATTCCCTTTAAAGAACAATTTTGTTGATAACCATCAAAAAAGCAGCTACAGTGAAGGTCAACCCTGCTGAATAAAAATGATGTTCGAATTTCAAATTTACAAGCTAAGCTGTTTAAAACTTGCTAGAAAGTAACTGATCCCAATGAACACCAATAGTAATGGTATATCCAACTAATGAGATTTATTTATTTTAAATTTATCTTATTTATAGGCTGCCTTTCTCCTGATAAGGTACTAGAACTAGAATTTTGGATTTATTACAACTAAATGTACAGTGGTGCCTCGCATAACGAGCGCCTCGTATAGCGACGAATCCGCATAGCGATCCCTTTTCCGGGAGCGCTAATGTGGAGGCATCGCGTTGCCCCCAATGGGCGAAACTCGCATAGCGAAGATCGGTAAGCGGTTCGCTTACCGATCTTCGCTTTGCGACGCCGCAGATCAGCTGTTTGACGGTTCCAAAATGGCCGCCGGAAGCCCCGAAATGGCCGCGCGCAGCGTTTTCGCGCCCTCCCCTCGCTTACTGAGGGCGCGAAAATGGCTGCCGGACCCAGGAAACTTCGCTAAACAGTGAGTTTTCAGCCGATTTGGCTTTTTACTTTCCGTTTAACGAAGTTTTCACATAGCGAAGGTTAATCCGGAACGGATTAACGTCGCTATGCGAGGCACCACTGTACTAGGAACAATACTGGGGAGAGATGACTTTTAAAAAGCTAGTCATTATGGACTCCCATGTGCCTGAAAATCAGGCACATTCTCACTAAGAAAAGTATGTTTAAGAACAGGACTTGCTAATGTTACTGCTAAAACTCCATAAGGGCCTTTAGGGCCTTTTCACAACAAAACTGTAGACGAGTCCGGCACAAAACAGACGAAGCATTTATGAGTTTCATGACTACAGTCTATATCCAACAATGTCTTGTCCTGAACCTACTGGAGACCCACTATGCTACTACCTGCATATTTTCAAAATCAGCCCAAGGCTGAAACCTCTTCGTTGTTATTCTGAGACATCTTGTGCAACTGCTTCACAAAACAGTGTAATCTATTCCATCTGCACTCCTGTCTGTTAAACTGCATCTCAAACGCCAAGTATCATGTAGAGTTCTAGTAAAATCCCTGTCACACTAATGTTACATTATATTTTGTTGCACTATGCCAGTAAAGCAAACAGCACATTTTACTGGCATAGGGAATTCTGGTTGATAATTTCTGAAAAATATGGAGACCTATACTATGCACTATATGTAGTACATACCCGCACCAAGCATCCTGCCCACCTTGATCCTTTCCTGTCAGGATGGACCAAAGGTAGAGAAACATGCTTACAACCCATGACTACTTTGATGAAGCTATTTTTGCCATCTTTCTTATCTGCAATTAGAAAATGAATAAGCTCATAACTTTCTATTAGAGGTGCCTGAGTTGAAGATTTTCTGATTCAGAGGCAGGCAACGTGAAAACTGCAGATCACATTCCAGGGCTACAAAATCGTGATGCTAGAAATTGTAGGGCTTATAGGATCTACTATTTTTTATTATTAGTCATGTCAGCTGCATGTGTATTCTAAGACTCTCCAACCCAGCTGTATCTAAATCTGGGAGGGAAAAATAACAATCCAAAAGCCCTTTCCCTGGTTTGTGTAGCCTTCTATTGCTCCCACAGAACAGTAGGTCATGAGTGGGAGATTATCTCAGGAAGAAATTGTCTTGGAAGGTTGGAGTTATCTCAGTGTTCACCTTCTCTTTTCAATGTTTTTAATAGCATGGTCTTTGCCTGTAAAAAACAACTCAAGATGCAAAGTGCAGGTGTCCAGGGCTGCAGACAGTCACCTCTAATAGAAAATTAACTTACTCAATTGCCTTTCTAGGCATGCATGAAGTCTGAGAGGGGAAAATTTACGGACATCCAAAATTTATATGCTGGAATCATGCAGCTTACAAAGGCAAATTTTGCACCATCCTCCGAGCCAAAACATAAAATTTAAATAATTTATTTAATGAAATTTAAAAAGAGAATTTGTCGGGAGCTTCCTCCCAACTCCAGGGGGAATGGATTTCCTCTAAAACAACGAGTCCCCCACACATTGCTTTGGCTAAATAACTATGGGTTTTTTGCTTGTCTGTTTGTTTGTTAAAGGGACTGATCTGCAGATCATTTGTGGTCTATTCCTGGTGGAACTGGTATACCCCAGAAGAAAATGTAGCAGGAAAAACAGCCCAGAGTGTGCCTAGATTTATCATACACTGGTGGCTTGATTCTCAAATGACTGCTTGGTGAGTTCCTCAAATCTTTTCACTGTTATCCTGCAGCAGCGACATATACCACTCATTAAGTCCATTTTGGAACCAGAGAACATTTTCAGAAGTATTGTAAAATCAAGCAGCACAGGGAGCATCACTAAGATGTCGGCGCCAGGTCAAAACCTTCCTGTTACAGAAGGCTTTTAAGTGAAATAAAATAAACTGTGGGTCCTGATGATGGCAATTTTAATTGTATTTTAATTGTATTTTAATCATTTTATTTTTAAAATTGAATTTTAATTATTGTAAGCCGCCTAGAGACCTCTGGGTAGAGTGGGCAGCATATAAATTAAATAAAATAAAAAATAAATAAATATTTTCATTTCAGAATTCCTTATACATTACTGAAAGTGGAGGCTAAAAAGAAATCTTACAAAAGCAAGGGTGATACGAAAGATTTTTAGTGGAAAGGGAGCATAAAGTCTTTTTTTAAAAAAGAGGGAATAATATATGATAATGCTGGGACGATATGTTTCATGCTAAGAAAACAGTGCATTCATTACGGTAGGACCTCCATATCTGATGGAGATTGGTTCTGCTGAAAACCGTGAATAATCGTAAACACATTAGGCAAGCAGGTAGCTAGGGAGGGAGGCAGGCTGCCTGGCAGATAGACAGAGACAGAAAGAAAAATGAAAAAGCCTGGAAAAAATGATTTTCACATACATTACCAGAACTGGTCACTAGAGGGCGCAAGTATTCATAGCACAGTCTCTGATTTTCTCTTGTGGCCAGTTCTGGTAATATATGTGAAAAGTTTTTTTCTGGATTTAAAAAAATATATATTTTTAGACCGGAGGTAAGTGGAACTGCAGATACTGATCCAACAGATATGGGGATCTTACTGTATTCTCAAATTCTGAATGTCAACCATCCAGAACCAGA